ACAATCATTACCATTACATAGTGACTTCTGAGAATTCTATGGTAAAACAGACATTTTTAGGACTTCTTTGACATAAAAATAAGTGTGATCTTCCTCAAAGACTGATACAGAAATGATAGGAGCCAAAGACCCATATGTCCCTTAAACTGAAATTCTGACACTGAAAAGAGAGTTATTTGTCATCTTTGAACAAAGCTTGTTTTCTGCATGATTCAAGGCCACTGGCATCACAGGTATCCCTCATGAGGGATGGAGACCTGGGGACACCCTGGGTTCCTAGGAGGCTGGAAAGAGCCACAGCTTTTACTTGTGATTATAAAGAAGAGATATTTGCACAGCATTGGGGCCTGAAAATGAACTCAGAAGAGCTGTGCATTTTCCCGTCCTGCGGTAGCTATCTCCTCACCTGTATGTGCAGTAACCATGTATATATTGCTCAAGGGCATTAGCGAGATTAAATGAGACAACAGGATCAGCTCAGTGTGCACTTTGGTCGCGCATGGCTCTGGAAGTCTGCACCGTAACCAGTCCTTCTCCAGCACAGAAGCCTTGATCCTAGACAACGCTGGAACCAGATAGACCGGTTTCTAGTCCTGGCTCTGGGATGTTCCCTGTGACCTCATGTAAGTCACCTAATGTCCCTGAGTTTCATCTGTAAAGGGGATCACTAATGCCCATGCACATGGCGTAACATCACTCGTGGTGGTAGTGACGGTACGGACTTCGAAGGCTGCCACTCAGGACAGGTCAGCATTGGTCATCCAGGGAGCAAGAGGAATGTGAGTAGGCCAGCAGGGATGGCTGGTACCCTGGCCCAAATCTCCTCACGTCCTGTGCTTAGTCTGAACTGCTGCCCTGGAGCCTCTCCTCCCAGCTACATTTCTGAAGTCCCTGCTCAGGTCTAGCACTGCAGTTTGAGTTGAGAGGACCGGAGACCTAGGCCTCCTCCTCACCCATCTGCTGCTGGGGCACCATCTCTCACTGCCCTCCATCTCCGAGTGCTCAGAATGAATGGTGGGATTAGGAGATGAGGGTGGGGAGAAATGCACGGAATGAAGTTTGTGGCTAGAATAGAGGACTTCGAGCCTGTAACACCGCAAAGGGGCCACAGCCACCGAGGCCTGAGACCCAGCACCTCCCCTTCTACAGCAGACACGACTGCATGCAGGCGTCATGGTGATGCCGATGGAGACAGGGTGGCAGCACTGTTTCCCACTCTGCCACTCTACTTAAGGAACCTGGGGCCCAGTAATGGGAAGCACTTGTAACCGTGGGATGGGAAATGATTGCCCTGACTCTTAATAAGAACAAATGCTTTTTATTAAAAAACATTGACTCAGGAGCTCAAACTGTCGGGTCCCAATCTAAACCTGAAAACAGTCACAGTGTGATCTGGGGCAAATCAATTATTCTTTCTGGAACCCAGACTGTGATATCAGTGTCTTAAAATTTTATTTTATTAGTGCATACTTGCAGCACATCATGAATACATTCATTGCGAGTAGCTGGTACACATGTGAGACACATCTTAATCTGTGTACATCCTCTTCCTCTCCCCCTGACTCTTTTCTCCATCTCCAAAGATCTCGCCAGTTCCTATTCTCTATCTTTTATTTTGCTGTCCGATTTACTTGTATTTTAGGTCTCTCAGATTATTTCTAAGCTTGTGTGTCTGATCTACTTAATTTATGAATTCAAAGTGCATCCGCTTTATTTATTTAAAAATATATGTGTTATGGTCTTAACATACAGTCACTAATCCTCCGATACACTCTCATCTAAAAGGAGGAACCTGATTTTCTCCCTGGGAACCTGAGTTGAGCTTTGTGACTTCTTAAGACACATGGAAAGGGAAGCACCGTTTACGAGTGGTTAATAGGACACAGCACAATGGGAACACTAGCTCTTTGTGATTCTTCCTCAAAAACCATTAGCCAGTGTGAAAACACTGAGGAACATCCTGCAAAATACCTGACCACTTCTCTCCAGAACTGTCCAGGTCATGGAAGACAAAGAAAGACATTAGAACTCTCCCAGAGCTGTCAGAGACAGAAGACTAAATTTTAGAGAATGACCGGTATATGCAACATGGGGCCCTGGAACACAAAAAAAAGTTAACAGAAAAACAAGAGAAATATGAACCAAGCCTTGGTTCAGTTAATGTCTTGTGCCAATGATAATTTCTTAGATTTGGTGAAAGCACCATTGTTATGCGAGATCTTAACATTAACACCCAGAAACTATCTTATCAGTATCTCCAACTCTTTTGTCAAACTCTCATTTCAAAGTAAAAAGATTTGTAAAGTTTATTCCTGTTTAAATAGAACATTTTACGAATATTTTTCAACATACATTAATTATTTCCCAGGCAGCAAGAGGTCATCAATTTGGCATCATAAAATAATTCAGTACAATTGCTCTAAGTCCACAAAGGGCCATTGAGAAGGATTTTTTCTTCGGCTTAAAAGAATATATTTGGAAGGATACTTGGCAATGTATGAAAACTATCTTAAGCTCTCTTGTACCCTTGGACCCGGAATTCTCCTTCTAAGCACACCTCCTTAGGGAATAATTAGAGAATACTGGTGAGAAGTGGGTATTGAAAGCTTGCCATTGTGTTGTTTTCCTCAGCGATCTAACCACAGCACGGGTGGATAAAGGACAGCACATGCACAGGCTGGATGAGCCTCCCGGCAAAGCGTGGCTGCCGAAAGCATCTGAAAACCCCGTTCCGTGCCCAGTCCATCATTCTACCTGCCCCAGCACAGGAAGACTATGCTTCTCAGACTGCTTGGGCACTAATTACGGATGTATTCGAAAACTACCGAGCTGACCTTAAACATAAGTCAGTAAAGTCTTTCGGATTTGTCACGCACAAAAGAACTCTCTTTTTCTGATAGAATCAAAAAAGGGAAATGTCCCTGAAACAGCTCCTTACTCAAGACACGTCCTTGTGGGTCTGATTTATTGCAGGCAATGTGCTGGGCCTAGACACAGGGGGAGACCAAACAGGCACCAGCTCTGCTTCCTGTGGCTTCCAGGAAAGGACAGAGAGATATCACACAAGAGCACAAGATGAACTTCCAGGAGAAGGCAAACAAAGGGCTGACCCCTGTTCCGCTGGAGAGAATGACAGGCCTGGTTTCAGTGGAGGCTCAGGGAGGCTCTGAAGAGGCTGGCAGCTGAGGAAGGCATCGAGAAGGAGGTCCCAGGAGAGAGGACAAAAGGTGTGGGAGAGGCCAGAGACTGGAGAGAAGCCAGTGTGCTGGGGTATTGGAGTGAGACGGCCTGACCAGGGTGGCGCCTCTTACCCTAGGGAGTTGGAAGCCAGAGAGCGGCTCTCAGAGAAACCTAAACAGAGGTGACCTGGACACCACCCCTCAGAACTGCCAGAGTCAGGCGCCAATTGCTACTTCAACCCCTCAGTGGGGATACGATCTGAAGAGAGTGGAGATCGTCCTCATAGGACTTCAGTAACCAAGGCAAAGAAATTTGCAATAAATGATTTCCCAAACTCCAAATGACAGGGATGTGAGTTTTTTGTTCTGTGACTAAGCTATGCTTTTGACCATAAGATTGTTTCTGCGGTCTCTCAATTGTGAAAAAGAAGAAATGCAACTGTGGTATCTGACTGTGGGCTTCATGGGGAAAATACCTTATAAAGTTAATATAAAAACGTGTATGGGCATGGCTGGGATAGTGCATGAGAAAGTAATGTACAGATAAGCAAAAGGAAACAGAGAAAAAGACACATCAGGCTTAAAAAAAAAAAAAAAGATAAAGTTAACCACAATGTGTAGGACTAATTGTGAAGATGAGTTCTCCTGAAAGCATTTAATGCCTGTCACATGTCAGATCTATTATGAATGTCTTAGGTAATTTATTACTTTCCTTATCTAGCAGATAATGTTAAAGCCATTTGAGGAATGTTTTCCATTTGCTTTTTCCTTCAGATTGGCCTCTTATCTCAGTTATGGCCTTTCAAATCATCTCTTAAAGCACCAAGGAACAGGCTGAGAGGAGTAAAGGTGAAGAAGCTGAACAGCTAAAAGATACACACCCCTGCACCCCATAACTGCCCCCCTCTCCTGGAAAGAGAATCTAGGGATTGCAAACGTACTCTTCACGACAGAGATCACTTGATTCTTTCCAATTTCTCAGTGAACAAGAGTAAGGAAATAAAACAAAGGTTATGCTGTTCGCTGTATCCAACCAGAGCTACAAATAGATCAGAAAGGTTAATGAACTCTAACGCAGCATGTGAGGGTACTGACCACCACTGGCATTAAAACAGCAACGCAGCTCATGACACCCTCTGAAAAGAAGCCCTGGGCATCACAAACCATCTCCAAAAGAACCGACTCCCTGTACTTGAGACCAGGATGTGCCACAGACAGAACATTAAATCTCTTAATTCACAGAAACGCAAATAGATTTCAGCTTTCACTTAAAACCTGGAAGTTATTAGGTTTTAAAGATATCGTCAGAAAACTTTCTTCCTGCTGGGCATGGTGACTCATGCTAATCCCAGCACTCAGGAGGCTGAGGCAGGAGGATTGTTGCCGAGTTTGAGACCAGCCTAGGCTACAAAGTAAGTTCAAGACCTGTCTGAATTGCATAGAGATACCTTGTCTCAAAAAAAAAAAGACAAAAAAAAAAAAAAAAAGAAAGAAAGAAAGAAAGAACAAAAGAAAAAAATTCTCTTCCTGTTATAACTGGAACATTATTCTTCCTCAGACGGAGCACTGGAACCATTTCTCCTTACACATGGTGCCAGACCAAAGTGATTCATAATGAGGTTTCTACAAATGTGAAAGTTATAGACACCTATTTCTAATCCCCCACATCTGGTAATTCATGTTTGGGTTTCCTATTTTCATCTCAAAATGTGTGATGGAAAAGAAACCCCTGCATTCTCTTAGGATTATTTTCCTCCCAACAACAAGCCGGCATTCTGCAGGCTGTGCGGTCAGTCACAGGGTGCTGGGGAGCAGGGTTACCTGCACACTGACCACGAAGATCAGAGAAGTGGCCATGGTGACGGCAAAGGACTGGTAGTCAGCCACGTGCTGCCCGTCTTCTCCGGCCGCGTTGTAAAAGGCCCCGTAGGGGATGAAGAACAGAGCTAACGAGGTGTAGACTCCATGCGCCACGCAGATGAAGAATTTACGCTTGTTAAAAAGTATGTTCAGCTGCCCAGGTTCATAGAGCTGGGGACAGTCCATGCTGTTCTGGTCACTCACATCCTGTAAACAGAGTGTGATTTCAGTGGGGGCGGGGAGGGGTTGAGAATAACAGAGAGGCTCTGAGTTCCCTGCGTCCAGAAATAGCAAGCACATATAAGCATGCCTGAATATGCACTGGGCCAGAATAAGACAGGATCTTGTTTTTATTCCCACAATAGCCCAGAAGACAATAAAATGATCTCTATTGTACAGACAGGGAACTTGAATCTCCAAAAGAAATTCACAAGGGGTCATAGAGTTCTTAAGGAGTGGGCACTGAACTCCTCTTGACTTGAACCCAGATACTTGGATTCAAATCAAAGGTTCTTTTCTGCATTGTCCTGCAGTCAGTCACGGTCACAGCTGCAGACTCCTCAGCCTGGCTGCATCCGGGGGACCCCAGGTGATTGCCCACGCCAGCAGGGGGCAGAGAGCTGTGGAGGCAGAGCTGACACTCAGAACCCAAAGTGGGCTGAGGCTGAGGCTGAGGGGGCAGGGTGAGGACCTGAGTGTTTCACCCAGAGAGGATTCAGTGGCAGGTACCAAGGACTTGGGACAAAGCAGTTAGGATGTTTGGCACCAACCAAGTCCTGGAAACACCAGCGTGATGCTTCTCGCTGTGCAGGTCACCTCCACGGGGAGCAGATTATGACCCCACAGATCAGCGAGCCTGAGACTGATTGCCAGCCAGCTCCAAAGTAACGCAGATAACCACACTGTGAGACCATAGCCAAGTGCTCCGAACAAACCAAGAGGGCAAGAATCCAGCTCTGGGAGCACTGGAGGACCATGAGTGAAGGAGAAGCAGCCAGAGGGGATGACCTTGGTGTGGGGGTGTGGATGAGTAGGATCTAGTACCACTTCCTCCTTGTTGGATGGCCCAGGCCTCACTAAAACAGGCTTCTGCAGAGCTCTTTGGGAAATCCTGCTTTGAGACCCCATCTGGGAACTTTGTCCTAGTCTGGTGACTGGTAGGGTTAGGTGCACAGCCTTGGAAGCCATGCAACCACATAGCTTGGGTACAAGCCTGGTACAGGACAGCCACCTGTTATCTAACCACTCTGAGCCTCAGTTTCCCTATCTCCAGACATGCAAACATAGCACCCCCCTCCTCCTGGAACCACTCCTGTGATTAAATGAGATGTAAAATGTCCAGGAATCTTGGCCACATCCTAAGCAATAACATATGCAAATAAAGTAATAATAAATAAAATAATTATGGTAGTAAGAACTGATGGCAAAATAACAATGCAGTGACCCCCAATGTCAAGTGGCCTGGTTCTACACAGTCCTGTCACTTCGCTATGTGGCATGAGGAAAAGGGCTTGAACCTCCAACACTTGACTCCTCACAAAATGATCAAATCGATGGGCCATCACAGAGTCCCTTCCAGAACAGTGTCCTGTGATCCCGTGATCAGCATCAGGGCCAAAACTGACAAAGCAGGGAAGGAGAGGGGCAGACCTTCAACTCGATGGCAATAGGAGGCTTATTCTATTTTTCTCTGTGTGTTGCACAATAACCATGTTTTCCCAGAAACTGCTTTATTTTTATTGTTTGATTCCACATTCTGGGCAGCTACAAAGCACCAAGAAAAGCAACGCTTGTAAACACGGGCCGTTGGAAGTGAATGCGCCTAATCCTTTACATCTAAGGTCTCCACGAGTTCATTACGTTCTGAAGAATTTCCCGAAATACGCCTTTCACAGACTGCCCTTTCCATGTGTGCAAAGTGAGGCTGGGGGCCAACTACAAAGCCCGTAGCGCGGGCGAGTGAGCCCCAAGCTCGGAATGTGCAGATCTGTATTTTGCAATTAATGGCTTTAGGCCAGGAAATGAGGCCTTGCAAACGGGTCTAACAACAGCCCGTTGTTAGAAAAGAGAAAATCTGGTCTCCTTAAAAGATACTTCAAAACAACAAAAAGCCAACGCTTTTTAAACACTTTTTAAAAATAATACGCTCCAACTGTGCCATGGAGGTTGAACTGCATAGCCTTCCACTTCCCCACAGGTGGCCAGGGAGCACCTTCCAAGGCTCCCCGGGAGCCAGAGCCATCTCGTCTGTCAGGATTCCCTCCTCTCTCCCCTTTAAGTGCATTATCACTGAGCACAAGAAATCCGTGCTCCTCCTCCCATGGCAGTGGGGTTGTGCGTGGTCCTCTCCTCCAGCCAGGTGGCCCTGGGGCCTGCAGTTTCCATCCTGGGGCTGGGCTGACCAAGTGCCTCCCTTCCTAATCTAGATTTCTGTTGTCTCAACCTGGTTCCTTGGTTTTCTGTCTGTGTTGCACGATGGTTTTCTGCAAACCCTCCAAGGCGGATAGAGCATCTCGCAGGGTGTGAAGGAAAAGATATAATGGGGAACAAAAAGGAGAAAAGCAAAAGTAGAGTCATAGAGACATATGGGGAATGCAGGGTTAAAATAAAACAGATTGCATCCTGCAGGACTTCCAGAGCCTTTATATTAATAATGTAACATGTGACCCTTCAGAAGAGAGTAGCTGAAGTCTGACCTCTGGGAGAGGTAGGGTCAGGGGATCTGGCAAGGTCTGCAAGTCATGCAAACACGGGGTGTCTAGAGCTCTTTCTGTGAGTCATGTCTTCCCACTAAACCACTAGGAGCCTCTGAAAGGTAGGACAGAGAAACTAAGCTATGAAATAGAGAAAAACACGTACCTGGTCAAAAATCCCCATGGCCAAAACTGGTAATGATGTGTAGACAATGTTGAAAAGCGTGATGAACCACTGGTCATAAACAGTCTGAAAAGAAATAACAAGTCTAAGGAATACGGTGTGTCTTAATAAGAGTGCTCCGTGTTGGGATCTTGGGTTAAATAACCTGAGCCGCTGAAGGGTGGAAGTTAGCTCTCAGGATGGACACCATGCATTCTCCCTGGAGTCCTACCTCTTCTCAGCTCAGCGGGCTTTGTGGGCCACTAGCTCTCTCTACACCTCCATTCTGGGTGTCTGAGTGATGCTGCCATCTCCCCTCACACAGAGGGACAAGGTGAGATAATGTGTGTTGACACCTTTGACACTGCCAGGGGAGAGACCGCAGACTCTGCGGTGGCTTTCTCTTCCCTCTGTGGTTTGCTATGGCTTACCCAGGTCCAAATATTCGACTTGAGTGACAAAGAAAGGACTGCTAAATCTTTAGAGGGAAAACAGCCATGAGCCTGTCATCCCTGCCCTGCACTCCAATGCAAACATTTTCTTGCAGTGATTTAAAGCAAGGTGAGAATGGAACCAACCACTAACTACACTAGGTACAAGCAAGGAAGACAAGGAAAATATCCCTCCACACCTGTGCAGAGTAAGTCACCGTCTTGGTTACTTTCCTCTCATTGCTGGGACAAAACACCCAACACCCAAAAGGAAGGAAGGAAGGAAAGGTTTATTTAGCTCACAGTTTGTGGAGGTTTCAGTCCATAATCAGCTGGCTCTAAAACAGGGTGGCATTGTACCAAGACAACAGTTCAAGGCAGCAGCCAGAACAGAAAGGAGGGCAGAGCAAGCCTCCTCTTCTCCCTTACATTGTACACAGGCCACTGCCACAGTCCAGGGCGGTGGTAGCACTCACAAAATCTCCGAGCCCTCCTCTTGCACAGGATGAGGATATTTACAAATGAGGATCCTGGTTCCCTGTTGAGTATCTCAGTTAAACTTCTAAACTTCTCAAGTTGATATAGTGTATCAACCATAACAGTCACAGCATCCTTACAGGAGCCTCAGTGAGGTAGAGGAGGCATGGAACAGGCCTTCTGTCCTCATTCCACTGATGAGCACTTGCAGATGTGAGCACGGGATCTTTCAGTTTCTCACGCAGTCACACGTAAAAATTAAAACCCAGGCCTCCAGCTCCAAAGCATTCATTCAACCACTTTGCTATCACAGACTTATTTATTCACTCACTCAGTATTTATGGAGAAACCACTATATGCCAAGTCTAGGTTCTAGGCAACAGGGATTCTACATAATCACTCAGACAAAAACTTTCTCATGGGATCTGCAATCAAGTGGTGAGAGGGACAAAACAACAAACAAGATCAGATTTATGGAGGTGCGGGGTTCAATCAATGAGGAAAATAGCAGGGAGAAAAAAGGATAGAGATTGAGAAGTTTTAATTGTCACAAAGTGATCAGAGAAGGTCTCACTGGGAAGTGACCACTGAGATAAGATCTGAAGGGGAATTGAATCTACCACTTTCTGGGGCATGAGCAATCCGTGTGCTCCTGTCCCAGCGTGGAGTGGGCTGGAGAGAATGGGGAAGTGAGGGCTTTCTGCAAAGACCCAACCCCAGCCTCTACTGTAGTGCTGCGGTAGCGTCTTCAGAACTGGGTGACAAAGCAGGGGTGCTGTGAGCTACAGTGATTATCATATTCTGAGCCGGAACTGGCAAAGTTAGCATCTGTGGGGAGGAGAAAAGACCCCGATACTCCTGTTGTGCCCACCTTAGCGAGATGTTAGAATCAATCTTGACGCAGAATCAATCTTGAGAAAGAACAGATGGGGGAAAGAGAGTAGGCGGATGGGTGAGGGAGAGAATTGTTTCATTCTCTGTGTATCTTGGAGCTCAGGCTTGGAATTCATGTCGGAAAGAGCAGCTCGACGTCATCCTCTTTGAGGGGAGGCCAAGGCAAGGAAGATAAATTCTACCAACAATAGCCAAGACAGAAATTGGGCAAAGCAACCAAATGAGGAACTCCCACCGACAGCCTACGTCTGTGACTAGAATGGCCATCGTCACCCTGATGTGGAGTTCTCTGCGTGGTGGCTCCCTTCTGTCACTCCCCGAGTCTCATCAGCTTCATCATCTGCCTGGAGCTCCACCACCATGCAGAGTGAAAAAGGTGGTCTATGTCTGGATGAGCGTTTAAAAGTGGCCTCTCAGAATAGGTCTTGAATTTCAATCCAGTCCCTCCAGCACTGATTTCAAGCAGTGCTGTCACTAAGTGCCCAGCCGGACAGCGGGCACAATAGCACTGTATTACATAACCAGCTCACCGGCGGCCCCAGCAGAGGCATCCCCCAAAGCCCAGAGAGCACAGCATCTACAATAATTAGGAAGTGGTGAGTTGCGAGTATATGGGTTTGGGTTTTGCTTTTAACAGGATGAAATTAAATTATAAATCTGTATAATTTAATTTTTTAAAATGCCTGTAGTTAACCACCAGCTCATAAAATTCCTGAAAATTTAACAATCAGCTTGTGGGAAAACGAGAATGGGCCAACTCGAACACACCACAGGCCTGTCCACACCGAGTACAAAACGGGACAAGATGGTGACAGTCACCTAAAGGCTACCAGACACAATGTGGCAACATGGAAGCCACAGAAGGTAGAGAGCTGCCATCCAGAGCCTCGGGCACCTGTGAGTAGAGGCCAGGAAAACTTTCCAGTGCCCCCTGCAAACCCCCAGGTTATTTTTGCAGAGGTTTCTAACTACCCATACAGGTGGGGCGCCTGTGCCAAAGCAATTCATACACATCACCCTTCCCACTGAAGACAATCCCCGAAAAGCTGAAACATCAAAAGTGGGTCTCTTCAAAGCCTGGGAACTAATAAGATAGTGGGGAATTACCTGTCAAGATCAAGGAGAGGATTAGAACTTACTAATTACTTCCAGGCCTGGGGGATCTCTGTTCTCTCCAGAGACCTCCTTATTTGCTTCGACCAGCTGCTGTGGGTGGGCAGAAGGCCAGTCAGCTGTCCTGCCATGGCAGAGCCTGTGACCGCACTCCCAGGGGGCCACCCTTGGGTCCCAGTCCAGAGAGGAAAGTGAGTCCTCAGGGTAAGCACCCAGCAAAACGACCAAGAGCGACTGGACGTTCCTGTCACCTCCCATAGGTCAACGACCACCCTCAGGTACAACCACTCGCCCCTGCCAGGTCTAGGCCAGAACAAGAATGGATACAAAACCCTGGACTCCAAGGACAGCCTGTCCCGAGAGTCCACCACCGCTGCAGCCCAGCCTCTGCCTCTTCCGAGGATTGAGCATATCCACCTGTTAGGGTTCAGCTCTAAATTGTGGCTGCAAAGCCTGGTGGGCATGGGAGATGACTGGATTTTCGGGGATGCTGGGCTCATCCGCAGATTGCTCCACTGCTGTATTCAAGGCAGAATCTGGGCTAGGGGGCGTGGCCTAGCGGTCACTGGGGGTGTGGCCTGGAAGGGTGACCTCTTGCCCCTGGCTCCAGCTTTCTCTGATGCTTCCTGGCAGCCTCCATGCCTGAGGCAATTTCCTTCACCATGCCTTTCCACATTGCAGCCACTAGACTGAACTGAGCTCTAAAAGCCACGACCCTAAATCAATCTCTCTTCTTCTAAATTGCGAGTGTCGGGCATTTCATCCCAGTGTCAGGAAACTAAGACATCTCCTACACACTTCCAACTATGGATGCTCAGAAATGCCTACTTCATGTACCATGATACATGCAAAAATAGTCATAGCACCGTGATCGACGTGTTTTAAGCTTTTTAGTTTTTTCTTTTTTCTCCTTGAAATAAAATGGATTTGAAAGAAAAAAGAAAGAGAAACATATTCATGGCGGCATTGATGGTAATGGTCCATAACGGAAACAACTGTGTCTACCAGGGGTGGCATGGAGAAAGACATATCCTGATAAAATACCGCAGAATTATATAAAGACATATTTAAAAACACAACAGAATAGAAAAAGTAAAAATATAATGTTGAGCCACAGATGCATGATTCTATCACCCATAAATTATAAGACAAGCCAGAACAGGGATTATAAAATTTCAGGGCGTCGGAAACCTCCAGAGAGCTGGGAGAGAAGGAGGCAAGAGACACAAGAGCCCTGGGTATTTGGCAATTGCCTCTTTCTTGTGCTGGACCATGGTACATGTTCCTTTTATAACAGATTGTTTTGTTGACATTTATGGTAGTGTTTTTATATTTTACAATAAAAAAGTCAAGCATATGACCTTTTATAGTCACAGTCTGGTGAAACCTTGGGGACTACAGGGATTTTAAAAAGTTTTGATGTCCACGCCACACCCCAGCCCAGTTAAACCGCATCTGTGGAGGCAGAATCTAGATATCGGTGGTTTTCTATTTTCCCAAGTCATCCCAAGGTGAAGATTGAGAATCACACTCACTCGCACTGAAAACAGATGGGCATATTCTCAGGGATTCAGCGATGACCTCTGATGCTCATGCCTCAAATTCGTCAGCTTATCTCAAGACGATGACATGGGAAATCAAAAGAGGAGGAAACAGCCACACTGAAGCCAGAAGCCCTTGCAGACCCTGGTGCCACTGAATCACTTTTCCACCCTGCATTCATCCACCACCAACCTCACTCAGAAGAATGAGGGGTGATCCTGTGCGCAGCTGTCGGGAGCTGACGGCCTGGCACACAGCAGCCTCCTTGTCACCAACTGGCCAGCATCACAAACCTCCAATTGTCTGACAGTAGCATTTGTCAATTGGCACCCAGGTTTGAAGTCTCATTTTACAGCCGGAGCCAGGGAGACAGGAAGGGAAAATCAGTTTGAATAAAGTTTCAATGAGTTTTTGCAATTTCTCAGAAGAGTTTTGGTTTCCACTCAGGGTTATGAGACCGAAACAGAAAAACAGCCAACAGTTCCTAGGGACTGATTCCGTGCTGCTCTCAGGGCTCTGCTGTGTCAACTCACCTAGCCCCAACACCCTCAGAGTAGGTACTATGGACAGTCCCCAACTTACAGGTGGAGGACTTGGCTGGGCCCAGCCAGGATTATAGGACGGCCCATC